TGCACTCCATGTTTTTCAGGTTTTTCTACAAGCATTAGGGCTAACACTAACTTTAAGGGGAATGAAAGTGGAGGTTCTGATTTAATCCTATGCCTCCAGGAGCTAAGTGTTTTAAAAACACCAAATTGTATATAATTCAGTAGAATTGCAAGAACCAGCAATATAGATGTTTACCTTGACTAATAATTACAAGCAGAGATATCAGAGCTGAGCTGGAGGCCTTTCAGCACTGAACTCTCCTCAGCTCTTTTCCTTCGCTTTGCATATAGATAGACCTAACTATTGAAGTGAAATCAGAGGATCCTGATATACGTTCTTCTGATGCAATCGTCATGCCCGCGTGATTCTTTAGCATAGCAAGACTGCTGTAACTTTTAATTCTTCTTTGTTCAGGGTAAAAGTTAAGGTGATTTAGATAACTGGTGGACGTAATAGATTATAACAGCTAACGAGTGCTCCTGAGCAAGAGTTGCTTCTTTCCTTCAAAGCAGCTAACATGTATGTTGGCCCATGCCGTTTGTCTGCAAGATACTGCAAGATTCAATATCCTTTATAACAATCCATACATAAGCCCTGTTTCATATCCAGAATTAAATATGAGTAAATGAGGATAGTAGTCCTATGTTCCTTACCACTGTATTAGTTTTGTGTTAAGATATCACAGATCGTTGCACTGAACATGCCTGGTAGATGTTGACAGAGAAACTGCAGAATTTGGCTTTGGATAGAAAACATTTGGTGAATTTGGCACCTGGGAATGTATCGGAAACAGTTTGGCCTTATAAAATAAGCGTGTTCTCTAGAGCTTTTTATAAATAAAATAGTACAAGCTAATTGGGGCCCTAGAAAAACAGTGCAAAACAATATCTCTTTGCATTTAGAGCCTGATCTAAAGCCTTCTTACAAACTCCCACTGACTTCACTGGGATTGGTTCCCTCATGATGTAGATCAGCCACAGTTTACCATGGCTCACGAGGCTGCACTAACAATAAATATGTTTCATTTTTTCTATATAGCAGACGAAAAATATTATAACCTTAAAGTTGTTTCACAAATGAATTTTTCCTTTCTCAGTGTATTTCTTCAGAGACGATAACCAAGGGCTTTCACTGTCTAATTGCATCACTGCTCAATCAATCTGGGCATGTTGAGCAGACCTGGATAACTGTTTCTTGTGGTCACCATGAGACTTTCCAGTAAAATGCTATCCACAGTTATTACTCAATTATGCACAACAATAGCTTTGTACAGGATGAGCAAAATCATTTTGTCTCTCCTTCCCTCAAGTAATTTAGCTAATCTGTTCCATAGGGAGAAGTGTTTTTTGATTATAACCAATCTCTCCTATTGTCTCAATTGTTTTCTCCCAATTCATCCTAGTAGTAATGTTTTATAAACTTAAGTTTATTGTTGTACCTTCTCTCTCAGATAGGTATCATCTTTAAACAAGATCAGAAAAGTTACGGGTTTGACTGGGCCTCAAGGGTAAGGTCCCACCCAAGCTGGAGACATTATGATAGTGCACTGCCTTAGGATGAGCTCATAAAGACTGTGGGGAGATACTGCCCTGCTAAAGTCACTGACAAAACTTCCACCGATTGAAATTGCACCATAGTTTTTTCATGATATACCAGAAATGGGTGCACTAGTGAGAACTTTGGTGATCACAATTACAGCAGAAGTTTCATTTTGTACTTTAGATCTCCAGTCTAGTACCAAAGCCCAGATAAATACAAATATGATGCTATTCACAGTACAAACAATAAGTAGAAGCAGGCGGAGGCTTGTATCCCCACACAGCTGTGTTTTAAGAAGCCTCATAAGGCTACAGAGGGTGAGGATTAGAACACAAGATTATCTGCTGTAAACCCCACGCACCATCCACCAGGCTATATCTTCTAACCTGGGGTTGTTTCTTTTTCTTTTGGAAGACAAAGACCTCAAATAGTAAAATGGCACTCTAATCTTGACAGGCCTATTAACTACACAGGGATGATGTAACTACACAGGCCCACTCGGAAGCTATAAGCCTCTCTTAATCAAAGGGAAACTGCGAAGTGGGCAGTTACTGGTTAAGGGGAGCAATACATGAAATAGGAAGATGGGAGTGATGGTCATAGATTGATAATGATGATTTAAAGGAGAGACATTGACCAGAGAACACAGGCCAGTGTCTACTTCCCCTTGAACATATCCAAGGAGCCAGTGGATGCTACCCAGTAGAACTTAGCCCTGAGACATGCACATCTAACCCTTACCCAGTGGACCCTATTCCATTAGAAGAAACAGACAATAATAAAAGGCATGCCTCTGGCCCCGCTTGCCGCTGTCTTATAGTACTGAGCTCCCTAATGAGTAGTATAAAAAAGAAAAAAGGAATAGTTACATGCCAGTCGTGAAATGCAAATAAAATCAGAACACTTGTACAGAGAGGTAATTACAGGCTAAGTTTCAGTTTTGCGGCCAGGTTTCCCATGAAGTGTATTCTGTGATTTAAACATCTAGCACATACTGGACATTATCAACACATGTCTTCCACAAGTCTTTTAACAACTATAGTCTGAAAGCTTAAT